CGCTTCTCTCTACCATCTATTAGACAGGCCACAAACTATTAAAGAGGCTTATATATAATCGAATCAGTACAGAATTGTTCCAGGTAATCCCAGTCGAACAAGCTGGTTTTCGATCAGAACGAAGCTGCGCTGACCAGATAATGTCACTCACCACCTATATATCGAAGCTGGCTTCCAAAGAAGATTTAAAACTTCAGCGGCATTTATTGATCTCTCGGTATCTTACGATACAGTATTGAGAGAGGGCCTTATATACAAATTTCTCCGTGCAATCCCCTGTAAACCAATAGCACGCCTAATAGATAGCATGCTCAACGACCGAATGTTGCAAGTAGTGATGGGCACAGATATCAGCCCACCAAAGAAACTTAAGAATGGCTACCACGGGGTCAGTGCTCTCTCCATTACTATTTAGCTTATATTTAGCAGATATACCGGAAACACGATCAAGAAAGTTCGGATACGCTGATGACTGGGCTCTCACTACACGATGCAGAACACTAGAAACGTCTGAAGAAGTTCTGACGGCAGATTATATATATATATATATATATATATATATATATATATATATATATATATATATATATATATATGTGTGTGTGTGTAGGAAATATTTCTTATATTAAGTATTTAGCATAGTTTTATTTGTTAGTTACGCCACTGCGAGATACCACTAAAACCATATTCTTAAGACGCCCCAGACAGGTCGCCATCGCGGGAAAGAGACAGGAAAAATATAGACAAAATCACACATGCCTGACCTAAAAGGGATTCAATATTTGACTCTCGCGCGGTGAAGGTAAATTATTATGCAGCGCCCGCCAGAGAAAAGACGAAAGACGAAAACTATTAACGACGGGGTGTCCGATATTTTAATTCGCAGACAATTATCCGTAATCTTGTAATTTTGTGTACCTGTAAATACCACCCTTACAGTTTATTGTTATGTAATACAGACGTCTCGTATGGATCGCGGATTTTTATTCTAACGTTAGTCCCCTTTCCAATAATAAAAGAACATTAATTAAGACCTACATTTTTGGGGCTCAACCGGGATTATTTCGAAAGAGACAGTAACGTTTTATTTGTACCGCGAATTATGGATGCATAATACGGGCAATAAGACAGTGCAGTTTTCGGCTAAACAAAATCGAATCAACGACGTGACTTTTGTAACATATGGCAATCATCAAGTAGTATAAGATAAGAGGCAACAGAAGGATTTCGGAAATCCCCTCCGAATAATATCCGATAGAGGTACCGCATTTACAGCGAACGAGTTCGAAGAGTATTGTCAATGTGAAGAAATTAAGCATATTAAGATTACGACAGGTGTGCCAAGGGGCAATGGGCAAGTAGAACGTGTCAATAGAACGTTAATCCCAGTATTAACCAAATTGAGTATAGAGGAACCGATGAAGTGGTATAAGCATATTTATAAGTTACAACAATTTTTTAATTCCACTTATCAAAGAAGCATTGATGCTACGCCATTCGAAGTACTTTTTGGGACAAAGATGAAGAATAAAGAGGATCTAAGGATGAAAGAAATAATAGAGCAGGAAATGATCAAACAAAATGATGTGGTAGTATATGTTAAGTCCAATGATAGATATGATGTGAAAAAGTCAGGATATCATGAAGTCCCCCTAAACACATCAACGTGTGCTGAATATATGAAGGCATGGGTAGAGAACCAGTCAGAATCCGAGTCGGATTCCTAGCAGGATGGCCGAATATAGGAAATATTTCTTATATTAAGTATTTAGCATAGTTTTATTTGTTAGTTATGTCACTGCGAGATATCACTTAAACCATATTCTTAAGGCGCCCCAGACAGGTCACCATCGCGGAGAAAGAGACAGGAAAAATATGGACAAAATCACACATGCCTGACCTAAAAGGGATTCGATATTTGACTCTCGCGCGGTGAAGGTGAATTACTGTGCAACGCCTGCCAGAGAAAAGACGAAAGACGAAAACTATTAACGACGGGGTGTCCGATATTTTAATTCGCAGACAATTATCCGTAATCTTGTAATTGTGTGTACCTCTAAATACCACCCCTACAGTTTATTGTTATGTAATACAGACGTCTCGTATGGATCGCGGACTTTTATTCTAACGTTAGTTCCCTTTCAAATAATAAAAGAACATTAATTAAGACCTATATATATATATATATATATAATATATATTATATATATATATATATATATATATATATATATATATTGGGCAAATATTTTCGGAAGTGTTGACTTCAACCAAATGCATCCAAAACAGAACGCTATGATTTAAAGAGCATTTAACAAAAACTGCCCAAAAGTTGAGTACAAGAAATAACGTTATACAGAAGCTCTGCGGTACCACCTGGGGAGCATCGGCGTCCACTCTCCGCTCTACTGCCTTAGCCCTTGCTTTCTCGACCGCTGAATATTGTGCTACAGTTTTGCTACACAGTCTACACGTAAAAAAGGTCATGAACAATGTAAACCTGCCGACCCACTAAGACACCGAGGATGAACGAAATAGTTGTCTTCGTTCTAGAAAACCACCAATGAAAACGGAAAGAATGATTCATGATGAGTTCAACATCACGAATGCATGGTCCCAAGAATGGAACGTATGGCAAAATAACATGCCCTGCATTGCCTACAAGCCACTAGGTTTTGATCTTCTACGCAAAACATGGTCCAAGCCATAAATGGGGAAAGAACCCGTCTACTCTTCGTGACTGTGGGGAGAACCAAACCATTGACCACATTATTGAAGAGTCTCCCTCAAGATCTTACAATGATAGCCCTGAAGACTTCCTGTTTGCAACTTCAGAGTCAATTGATTATAATAATACACTTGATGTTTGTTTGTAACTATTTAAAGTTTGTCATATACCTATATTACTAGTGTTTGTAATTTTGTTCTAAATGTGTTGTATAATACGATGTGTTATAATTGCCATACGATAAATAAATAAATAAACTTCAGACGGGAACGCATCTATCCGACGCTGACCATGATCTAGATTTGTGTGATTAAGGAATTCTAAGAATTCTCTGTAAACATAAGTGGAAGCTTTTCAGTATGGTTTATTACATTGTTTGAAAGAAAACAACCATAGTTTAAATATTTTATCTTTTGCATTAAAAAACAAGTAATATTTGTAAACAACATCTGATGAGAAATCTGATTTTATGTTAATTATTAAAACAACTTCACCTACTATTTTTGTGTACATGTTTGCAAGAAATTATGGTTATAAATAAACGAGTACAATTTTTTGTGAATAAGTTAAAATAAACAATTATTATGACAGTATTATCCATATTATACGGTGGAAAAGTAGAGGGTTGAGAAATAATCAGGAACATGGTAAATTGATCTATAAAATGTAATTGATGGTACGTAGTCAGTTATTGTAATACTGATATTAAGATCTATCATATCATATATTGTTTAGTATAGTACAGTAGATATTACTTAAATGGTTGGTGTCTATCTTATAATTGATAGATTCGGGAGTTTTATTAATGTGTACCATTTCAAGTAAAAGTCGATTTTTATAATTATCAACTTGTTCCAAGATTTTTACATTATTAAAGTCAAAAGTTATGTCCTGTCTTCAAGTGGTGGTCCACTAAGGCACAAGAGTTTTTTCGTAAGTTACAGTCACTTTTGTGTTAAGTGGCACGTTGTTTAAGCCACTGTTGACTTTGTCCAATCTAACAACTTTGACATTGGCTGCAATTTATTCTGAAAATTATATTACTCATATATTATGATAATAATTATATTCTCAAAAATAAAAGTTAAAACTCCAAATTCACTAATGAGTAATATAATTTACAGAATAAATTGCAGTCAATGTCAAAGTTATTATATTAGACAAAGTCAACAGTGGCTTAAACAACGTGCCACTCAACACAAAAGTGACTGTAACTTACGAAAAAACTCTTGTGCCTTAGTGGACCACCACTTGAAGACAGGACATAACTTTGACTTTAATAATGTAAAAATCTTGGAACAAGTTGATAATTATAAAAATCAAGTTTTCCTTGAAATGGTACACATTAATAAAATTCCTGAATCTATCAATTATAAGACAGACACCAACAATTTAATATACTATTTAATGTTAATATATTATTAACATTTAATATACTAAACAATATATGATATGATAAATCTTAATATCAGTATTACAATAACTGACTACGTACCATCAATTACATTTTATAGAACAATTTACCATGTTCCTGATTATTTCTCAATCCTCTACTTTTTCACCTTATAATATGGATAATACTGTCATAATAATTGTTTATTTTAACTTATTCACAAAAAATTGTACAATGGGAGTTCACCTATAAAATATTGCGGTTACCATAACTCCCAAATAAATTAAAATCAAAAATGTCATTTATATAAGTGGATATGTTATCAAAATCTAAATTTTTAATCTTATAGTTGTAAGTATTGAAATATTCATTTTGTTTACATATGATAATTATAATAAATTTACAGTTTTCTCCTGAAGAAGTCACAAAATCGTGACGAAATATTGAGAAATAACAAATAGAGTTTTATTTCCCACAGACCAATTGCTGATACTACAAATCAATATATATATATATATATATATATATATATATATATATATATATATATATATATATATATATATATATAAACAAGTTATCAATGTTTTAAAAACTGTCCGCCAAAATTTTTGAAAAATTAGAAAAAAATATAAATTTTTGATGTATAGTACCTCATACAAAATATGTCTATAATTCTACACAAAATCTGTGTCCCATAAGAAAAACAAAATTAATAGAGACTTCCATTTGTTCGTTTTACCATAAAAGTATATTCTAAACATGTAGATTAGCCACAATTAAGTGGATGTAAAATTTTTAGATCTCCAATTGGATTATTATATAAATGAAAAACAAATAAAAATTTTGAGTAAAATCCTCATTTGAATACTTTTTTAGGTAACTGTATTCTCAAAAATTGTAAAATAACTGGAAAAGGCAACTCTTCTGTACATCAAGGAATTATAGTACTGAAGGGAGCTCATTTGGAATTAGAAAACTGTGAGATAAATGGTTTTTCAACAGCCATTACTGGAAATTCGGATTGTAAAGTGGTTTTAAAGGACTGTGATATTTACGACGCCGATGTAGGAATCAAGATATTCGATGGTTGTTCCATGAAACTGGAAAAGTAAATATAAGAGAATGTATGGAATTTGGGTTTATATTGGAGACTGATGAAAAAACTGCCACTATTGGAAACTTTGAGAATTTAAATTTGTGAGTATTTTAAAAGGTGTCTCTTTTGCATCTTATAATTTTTTAATCGTATTTATTTTTTGATATTATGACTGAAAGAGTAAATATATTTTGTTCGCTTACTGTTTGTACTTCTTGAATTATTTTTTTATTAAATCTTTTCTACTCACAGCAACTAAAACATGAAAATAATTGTCTTGTCCATGCACAATACAATACATTAAACAAAGACGACAATATGATGAAGGATAATGTTAAAATAACAGCTTTCTTATTTTTATGACCAGTTTTCATCATCATCATCATCATCACTGGCTCGACAACCCTTTTTGGGTCTTGGCCTGTTCAAGGATTCTTCTCCATTCTGACCTGTTTCGTGCTTTTTTTTTCCAGTTTTTAATTTTTAATGTTGTTATATCATTTTCTATTTGTTCTACGTATCTCAGCTTCGGTCTTCCTCTTGTTCTTTTTCCTACTGGCACTTGTTTGAATATTTTGTTTGGTATTTCGCCTTCTTCCATTCTTTCCACATGTCCAATCCAACGTAGCCTTCCTATTTTAATGAATGTTATGATATCCGGATCCTGGTATATGTTGTATAGTTCAAAGTTATACCTTCTCCGCCAAATCCCGTTTTCTTTTGTGCCCTTATATATGTGTCGCAAGATTTTTCTTTCAAAGGTGGCTAATAACGTTTCCTCCCTTTTAGAGAGTGTCCAGGTTTCTGAACCGTATGTGAGTACCGGTCTTATTAAGGTTTTGTATATTTGGCATTTTGTTTTTCTGGAGACGTTATCTGATCTTAGTTGCCTAATTAAGCCATGGTAACATTTATTGGCAATAAATATTCTCCTCTTCACTTCCTCTGCAACGTTGTTATCAGACGTAACTAGGGATCCTAAGTATGTAAAGTTTTTTACCGCCTCAATGTTGTATTCTCCTATTGTTAAATTTGGCAGCTGCCTTATTTGTGCGTTTTTATTTGCAGGCATATATTTTGTTTTTGTCTGATTGATTTTAAGACCACTATTTTTTGCAGCTCGTTCTATTTGAGTGAATGCCTCTATCATTTCTCTTCTTGATCTTGCGATTATGTCAACATCATCTGCAAATGCTAGTACTTGCACGCTTTTATTAATTATTGTTCCTCGGGTATTAACTGTTGTGTCTCTTATTATTTTTTCAAGTATGATGTTGAATAATATGCATGATAGAGCGTCTCCCTGGCGTAGTCCCTTCTTCACATCTATTGTTTCCGTTAATTCGTTTTGTATCCGGATTTTACTTTCTACTTTTAGTGTTTCTTTTATCAATTCTATTAGCTGTGTTGGTATATTAAATTCTTTCATTGCTTTTGTTAGGAATTCTCGGTTTATATTGTCATATGCGCTTTCGAAGTCTATGAAGAGATGATGTGTGTCGATGTTATATTCACTTGTTTTTTCAAGGATCTGTCGCAGAACAAATATCTGGTCTATTGTTGACTTCTGTCTACAGAAGCCACATTGGTATTTGCCAACTATTTTTTCAGCGTATGGTCTAAGTCTTTCATACATTACGTTGGACATTATTTTGTATGCCGCATTCAACAGCGTGATTCCACGGTAGTTTTCACATTCTAACTGGTTTCCTTTTTTATGTAGTGGTACAATAATGCCGCTATTCCACTCCTTTGGTAGCTGTTTATTCAACCATATCTTTCTTATCAGCTCATGTATGGCTTTAAGTAATGCGTCTCCTCCTTCTTTCAGTAGCTCCGATGATATTTGATCCGATCCCGGTGATTTATTGTTCTTTAATTTGTCCACTGCTGTTCTAATCTCTGCTATTGTTGGTGGACTCTTTTCTCTGTTGTCTGCTTGGTCTAATGGTATATCAGGGTTCATCTCCGTCCTATTCACCCCAAGCTTTTCCTTAAAATGTTCTGTCCATCTTCTAAGTATCTCTTGCTGTTCTGTCAATATATTACCCTCCTTATCTTTACACATCGTTGTTCTCGGTTTGAACTCTTTTCTGCTTTTGTTGAGTTTCTGGTAAAATTTTCTTGTCTCTGTTGGTTTACTTAGTTCTTGTAGTTCTTGAAGTTCTTTGTTGATATATTCTCTCTTCTTTCTTCGGTGAATTTTCTTTTCTTCTTTACGTAGTTGTTTATATTCTTCCTCTGCTTGTCGGGTTCTGTGCCTCTGTTGCATCTGTAGATATGCTCTGTTTTTTCTTTCTGTTATAGTTTGACATTCTTCGTCAAACCAGTGATTCGTTCTTGTTCTTCTTTCTTTACCTTCCATGCCCAACACCTCTTTAGCTGTTTCTTTTATGATTTCTCTGCACTCTTCCCACTCCTCATTTAGGTTTTCATGTTTTGGTCTGTTTTCTAGTTTGATGCTTATATTTTCTTTGTACTCTCTATTTTTGTTTGTTTCTTTGAGTCCTTCTATATTGTATCGTTCATGTTTAGAGCCTCTTTCCTTTTTGATGTTTGAAATTCTAGCCCTTATCCTACTTTCGACCAGGTAGTGATCAGAATCCGCATTTGCCCCTCTTCTGGTACGGACGTTTATTATATTCGATTGGTGTCTTGAGTCTACAATAACATGATCTATCATATTCACTGTAAGTCCGTCTGGTGATTTCCAGGTGCCTTTGTGTATATCTTTTCGAGCGAAGTATGTGCTGGCAATCACCATGTTAAGTGATCTTGCTAGGTTTACCAACCTATTGCCATTGTCATTTGATTGCTCATGGAGACTGTGCTTACCTATTGTGGGTTGGAATTGCTGCTCTCTTCCAACTTTTGCGTTTAAGTCTCCATAAATTATTTTTATATCACTTTTTGGGCATGACTGGTATGCGGACTCTAATTCATCATAAAACTCTTCTTTGACTTCCTCTTCTTTTTCTTCTGTGGGGCCATGCGCATTAATTAGGCTGTAGTTGAATTCTTAAAATACACATTCTGGGACTGATGGCTCTGAAGTATTTTATTATATGTCTTACTCTCTTGTTAACTATGAATCCAGTGCCCAAAATGTGATCTTTAGGAGCGCAGCTGTAGAAAATGGTATGGCTCTTTTTTTCCATAATATTGTTTCCAATCCACCTCATTTCTTGTATGGCAGTTATGTCAATTTTGTATCTACTTAGTTCGTTTAAGAGATTTTGGAGAGCCCCTAATCTGTACAATGTTCGAACATTCCATGTCGCAACCCTCAAATCGTGTTCCTTTTTCTCGCACAGTCATCGTCGTTTAATCAGTCTGGCTTTTCTTCCTTGAACGTTCATAACTCATGCTTTTTCTAGGAGAAGGTAGTTAACCTTCAGCCCAACCCCCTATTCGTCAGAGGACCAAGACTCCCTTCTTCGTCAGCCCTGTTCCCACCTTCCATTGGGGGTTGGTTACCCAATCTCCAGTGGGGTTGCTCAGGTTACCGGTGTGTACCAGCTTGGAGGTGAAGATAGGAATTGAGTAGGAGAGGCTAAGTGACGCCAACAGGATACGGCATCATATGTTGCGCTTCACTACCCCTTCACACACCATGACCAGTTTTCATATTATTTAAATTTTAGATTTATTTCGGTACATTGATTTTTTTTTCAAAAAGAAGAGTATCTACTGACTATTATCTTAATTTTAGATTTCATGACGTTGATGCACATTTATAAGCTAATAACCAAAATCATATATTCTAAATTTGCCTATCTTCTAGAGATGTTGGCGACCACATTGACCCATCTTATTCTATTCACAGCAGCTCGAAATAGATCAGTTGACGTTAGACCAGTCCATTTCCTAAGATTGACCAGCCAGGATATACATCTACGTCCAGGGCCTCTCTTACCCTCAATCTTGCCCTGTAGAAGTCGGTATTTATCATTACGCATGATGTGGCCGAAGTAAGCCAATTTTCTGTTTTTTATGGTGTTAATAATTTCTTTGTCTTTTCTTAGCCTCTGGAGAATAGTTATGTTACTTGTGTGGTGTATATATGAGACCCTCAACATACGTCGGTAGCACCACATTTCAAATGCCTCCAATCGTTTTATGGCATCTTCTGTAAGGCTCCAGCTTTCTACTCCATAGAGGAGGACACTAAAGACGTAACATCTAAGAATTCTTATGCGTATATTGATACTTAAAGATAAGTTGCAGAGAATCTTCCTAAGGCTGTTGAAAGAGCTTCTGGCTTTTTCAATACGAGTTTTTATTTCGTAGCTGTGATCCCAAGTATCCTTAATATTGCAGCCCAAATAGCATATTTTTTCCACTCTTTCTAACGGTGTATCGTTAATTGTAATTTGGGCGTTTATGCCGGTGTTCTTACTAATGATCATTATTTTTGTCTTCTTGCAATTTAGTTTTAGGCCGTATTTGTTACATGCTTCTACAACGTTATCCATCATCCTTTGGAGCCCCTGCGCACTATCTGCCAGCAACACTGTATCGTCTGCATATCTAATGTTGTTTATAAGTTGGCCATTTACAGCAATCCCATCTTCTGATTCGTCCAAGGCCTCTCTAAAGATGTTTTCAGAGTATATGTTAAATAATGCCGGTGACAATATGCAACCCTGTCTAACTCCTTTTTCGACTGTGAAGATCTCGGACAGTTCATTTTCTAATCGTACTGTTGCTTTTTGTTGGAGATATAAGTTTGAGATCAGTCTTATATCCTTACCATCGAGTCCTGATGTTTTTAGGATATCGATTAGTTTCCTATGTGGGACTTTATCAAATGCCTTCTCGAAATCAATGAAACATGCATACACATCTCAGTTGACATCCCTGGCTCTCTGTATTAGAACTTGCAAACTAAAAAGTATTTCCCTCATTCCGAGTCCTGCCCTGAATCCAAATTGAACTTTACTCAGGTGTTCTTCTAATTCGGTGTATATGCGCGAGTGAATGATAGTAAGGAGTACTTTAAGTACATGGCTCATCAAACTACTTATATGTTTCAACCACCGTGCTTTCTAAAACTTGCAAAGCAAACAGCTTGATGAATAAATCGGCAAAGAGGTCGAAA